TTTGCAGCATTTTCACATGAGAGCTGGAACACCTGGTGATGCTCAGATGATGCACTCAGCCACCACCAGCCCAAGCACCTCAGGATGGGGAAACATTTCCAGGACCACCACCCATGTGCCTTCTCCCTCTCCTGCTGCCCACACCTGGCCCATAAACTCAGCACAGGTCATTGTAGATGCCTTCAGGAGAATATCATCAATTTGGGACTGGCACAGCGTGGCCTCAGCCCTTCCCCGGAATGTTTTCCCAGATGGGTACCTGTGAGGAGGGAGCAGGAAGGGGAGCGGATGGGGAGGCTGCCAGGGGAGCATCATCCCAGGAGCAGCCAGCCTTGCTGCCGGGGCTGCTCTCCCACTCACCGACTGCAGACATCCAGCGGGATCTTCTCATCCTTCACCGTCACAACGCAGGGCAGACGGATCAGCACTTCAAAGGTGGGCAGCCCTGGGGGGAGAAGAACAGAGAACAGGACCGTGCCCTTTTATTCTTTGGGAGTTTCTTGCCATCCCACGCAATGACTCCCAAACACCCCGTGTGGAGCGCAGCCTTCATCCCCACGCACCGTAGTCCTGCACGCTGAAGGAGTGACTCTCGCGCTCCACCTGGATGCTGTACGTGCCTAGGGCTGACTCCACAGGCAGTGGGAAGGACAGGTCCACGATGCCCTGCCGAGGACTCACCTCCTACCACTCTGCCACGTGGTTCCCGTGCGGATCCTGCGCACAGGGTCATGCGGCGTCAGCATGTTCACGGGGCTGAAGATGGGGTGGGGGCTGGTGGTGGTGGGTTGACAACCTCAAGGACTCAAGTCACCCCATGTCTTCTCTCAAGAAGCAGAGGTTTTGCCTTGCCATCATGCTCAGAGCAGCCCTGAGGGCATCGCCACTCCAGAAGGAAAACTCCCCCCCTCCCCGGGAGCTGTATTAGCTGAGCTCCAGCCTGGCTACAGCAGCTGGAGCTGGCAGGAGGATGCTCCAGCCTGGACTGGGAGCTCAGGGTGTTCTTGAGTTTGGGTCAAAGTCTCTGTGCTGTCTTCATCCATGTTAACTGTCCCTTAGCAACATCTTCTGTGATCTCCCTGGAGAAGCCCCTGTCTTGCAGGCAGACAGCAAGACCCTGAGCGGGCTGGAAACGCAGACGAGGAACCTGAGCCCTTCTCCCCTCCTTTGTAACTTGTCTCAGCACCTGCAGTGGGGTTGTCCCTGTCCCTGCTCCTTGTCCCCAGCATCACACACGTGCTGGGGCCCTTTGCTTCTCCTGAAGGAGCTGACAGGCTGGCACAGGGTGACAACTCACCTGAACGGCCACCAAGGAAAGCTGCAAAGAAAGAGAGAGGAAGCATTTAGCAGGATCGAAGCACAGAGGGCTGAGCTTGTAGCTGAGCCGGGGGCTGAGCCTGTGGGATCTGGCTTGGCCCCTACAGAGCCGGTGGCTGGGCTGGGGGCTCAGCAGGGCTCAGAGGTGCTGTCATTACCTGGCTCCCACTGCCACGTCCACAGCCATCACGCTGCCTTTTCTGAGCAGCGGGCAGCGAGGCTGCGCTGTGCAAACAGCGTTCGCTGTGCGGTCGGGCCTGCCAGCACCACGCAACACCCGGAGTCTGAAACCAGTGGGCGTTATAACGGTGCATAGAGGCTGCACACGAGAGAAGACAGGCAAAGGGATGGTGCGAAGGGAATAATTCATCTCCTGTGCCAGTGCCAAAAGCAAGGGGCTGTACCCTGGGCACTCAAGCTGGGAGCGCTGGGAAGAGCTGTGTCCCGTCCCCCTCATCCCACGTCCCATCGGTGTTTGGGGGATTCCCTCCCCGCCCCCGTCTCCTCCATAATCGTGGTGATACTGAAGGCTGTGTCACTGCTGCCGAGATGGATTGTCTTGGGTGCCTCCACACCCACCCTGCGCCCCGACCCCACCTCACCTCCCTGTTGCTGGGCATCAAGTTTTGATCGAAACGGACAATTTGAAACTTCACTGGAAAGAGCAAAGGCAGGACAGGAGTGAGCACTAAGGCCTGGGACCCAAAGCTGTGGATCCCATCCCAAGCTCTTCCAGCAGCTCCTGCCCCTCACCTGTTTGTCCAGGCTTGTAGACATCCTTGTCTGTCTGCACCAAGGTCCCCAGCTCCATAGTTTCCACCATGACTTGTTTCTGCTCAGAGACCTGCAGGGAACCTCCCTGGATGGAGATGTGAAGATTCGCAACCTCATAGAGTCCTGCAGGATAAGTAGAAATCTGCCCCAGGGAAACAGCAGAAATGGTTGCAAAGACTTTATGTTGGATGCCAGCGAGTCATCATACCTGTCCCCCATTGTCACCACCCCATTGTCCCACAAAGGCACCAGGGGCTGGTGTACATGGGAGGATGATGGAGATAATTCCCACAAGGTCTCTACGTGCCCCATGTCCCCCGACTCTTTAGCTCACTCGTCGCCCATCTGGGATGGACCCCATGTCCCCTCTCAGTTCCCCCAGCCCAGTTCCATCAGATGGACACCCCTTCCCAAGGCCCTCAGCCCTGCCACAGGGCCATGACTCACGTTGGAGAAGCGGGGCCAGTCCAGCTGGAGGACACCGCTGCCCTGCTCCTCCAGGGTCATGCTGCGGGCACCATGGCTGCTTGCCAGGGGAGGGTCACCCGCACGGGCTCGTCCAGGTCCATGAGGTGGACGAGCACTTTGCCCGTGTATGGATAGTAGATCACAGAGGGGAAGAGCACCACGTAGTGCCTGGGGAGGGAACACCTCGATAGTGGAGGAGAGCAGGGACCCCCTACCAAATTCCAGTGCTCCCCTCCATGCCAGACTCTCAAGACAGGGGGCACCTGTTTTTTTCCCAGCCCGGGATGCTCCCTGAAGCGCTACACCATCCAGCCTTGCCCCCTCTACCTCTGCCCAGAGCCAATGCACAGACCAGAGCGGAGCCCCCTTTGCCTAAACACCTTGGGAAAGAGCCAAGGGGTTGATCTGCAGAGGGAGGAAAGGCTCTGCTCACCCACTGGCTTGTGCGTGGGATTGCACCTACACCAAAGCAGCCCAGAGACCACAGGTGCAAAGTCCTCCATGGGGACAAGCCACCACCCCCAGCTTGTCCACCCGAACCGGTGACCACAGTCAGGGCGAGAATTGTCCCACCACTGAGACCAACCACCCTCCCACCAGGCCTGAAGAGGCAGACACAGAGAGGACTTACGGCTTGGCAGACGCTCCAGCTGTGAGGTACAGGATGCTAAGTAGCAGGCAAGGCAGGGCAGCTGCAGACCCCAAGCTTGGGGGACCACGTGGAAGCAAGGTGGTCCCAGAGGCCCCCCGTGCTGGGTGTTCTTCCTCTTCTCCAGTTTTCGCCTCCCTGCTGGCAGCAAGCAAAAGCCAGAGAGGTCTCTGGCTGGGACCTAGCCATCCAGCTGGGATAATGTTTAACCACCAGCCCCAAGCTTTGCTGGGTTCAAGGCTCTGGGCAGCCAAACCACACCCATGGTGGTGGGCATGTGGTGGGACTGCTGAGCCAGCTCAGAGCTGACAGGCTAAGCTGCATGTAGGGAGCCCTGGCAGGAAGGAAGGGAATAAAGGGGCTTACTGGGAAATGAGATCCATTGTGTGCCTGCTGCCCTTGACCATCTCCACATGGCGGTTCTTGATCCAGTGAGCTGTTACTCATGGAAGCCTCTTTTCTAATACTGCTAATATTGGAAAATATTACTCTCTTGCTAATATTTTTGCCGAGTGGTATCCGTCTGGGCAGACAATTGCCACGGTTTTGCAGAATTTCCTCCAGAATGAGCCAGCCCCCCCTGAGAGCAGGAACAATCCAAACTGCAGTGCTGTGCCCTTGTTTGGCCATGGTTTGCACATGTTATTTGGAGATGGGAGGTGAAGCCTGCCCACCTTGCTCCCAGCACTGGGGACAACGATGCACTGTGTTTCTCCCTGCCCTACTGTCACCCTGGGGTGGCTGGAGAGGAGCTGCTTAGCTGGGAAGCAGCCAGCAGGTGCCCAAAGCCCTGCCTGGCTGCAGGGAACAGGCCAGGGGAGATGGTAGCTGGTGGATGGGTCTGGTTGTGCCATGGTCCGGAGGCCATGGGGAGGTCCCTCCTGCTCCGGGTGGGCATAATCCAGGCACCTCTGCTCTCTGAGGCTTTTGGGCTTTAATGGATGCTCCTCCTGTGCACTTACTGCTTGTCCTTAAGGCAGGGAGAGGTCTACCTCAGGGGCAGACCACCTCAGTGCAACTCTCACCCTGCCACGTGCTCCTCACACCGTCCAGCGCTGCACCCCATGGAGAAGCTGTGGTGTCCATAGGGATGCTCCGCATGCAGTGATGCAGGCACCCCAGGTGGCTGTAAGGAGACAGAACCCCCTCCCCACGCTCCCCGCAGCACCCGAGGGGCAGGCAGGACACCATGCACACACACCACCAGCTACGGACTGTTTAATCTTGCACTCTTATCTCATAGTTCAGCATCAAGGATGCTCTTCCCACGTGGCAATATCCCCTGGACCTCCTGCCGCCCACCCCCCCATGCCACACACTGCACTCTGGACCCCTCCCCAGAGCTGGCTCCATCTGAACAGCATTGCCAGCTTGCAGGAGCCTCTGGAAGAAGAAATCCAGCAAGCCCCTGGGTGAACCCCACTGCGAGTCACAGCGTCAGGGGTGGAAAATGGTGCAGCAAACCCCCAGCCCTCTCCCCTACCCACTGTGCAGGCAGGAGCCACCAGGCAGATGAGGATTGCTACAGGGGGCCAGCCACAATGCTGGGTTTGGGGGAGACAGGCAGTGCCCTGGGGAGGGGATGCACAGTCATAGCAAGGGGTTTCTGGGGGCACCTTGCACTGTTTTCGGGGTGCTGCCTGGTCCCCATCATGCACTTCCCTGCTTTCCCTTGTGCCAGGGCACCATCCTGCTCTCACAGGCTGCCAGGGAGGTGGCAGGTCTGGTAGACACATCTGCAGGGGACAAGGGGACACCTCCCTTACGTCCCCAAGGGCCTTGGTCCCTCTGCCTAATTGCTGGTCCAGGTTGTGTCCTGCTCGTACTGCGGGCTGCCCATCCCCCCACCAGCACCAGCCCCAGTGCCACGCGGGAGCGGAGGCTGCTCAGCGTGCTGGTCCCCACAGTGATCTGCAGACATCTCGGTGAGGGCATCAGCCATGGTCTGGCGGACAGTCTCTGTCAGTTCAGGGACATCCTTTGGGGTCAGGCCCTGGGTTTCTACCTTGGGGAGGATTCGGATGGTGCACGTCCCTGGAGAGAGAATGGAAAGGCTGGGGATGCCGCTAGATGAACCCACCAGGAACCAGGTCATCCCACCAGCGTTCTCCACCACCAGCTGCCTCCCCATGCCTCAGTGTCCCACAAAGAGACCTCCAAGCCCCACATGCCTCATGCCCACTACCAGCCCTGCCTTCTGCCAAAGGGGCTTCTTGTCCATCACTTACCAGAAGTGAATTTCTTATCCTTGGAGCTGAAGAAGTCCCAATATGGGGAGATCACCATGGGGAAAATGGGAACCTGTAGCAGATGGAGGGTCAGGGGTGTCCTCCAAACAGACTCCCTCCTGTGGTGGGACTCCAGCTCCTGCCATGCCTCAAGCTTCAGCAGGTCCCCATCCCCTCCCTGGGTCCTGCGCAGCAGGGTGACAGTCCCTGGGGACTGCAGACCCCAAAAGACCCTAATATCCCCCATCCCACTTCCCCAGGGTGCATGCTGACCCCACCCCATCAAAGGCAAGTGGAGGAGGAGGATGGCCTTACCTGAGCCTGCACAGCCAAGTGGAAAGCCCCACGCTTAAAGGGCAGCATGGATTTGTTCTGGTTCCTGGTGCCTTCAGGGAAAATCAACACTCGGAGCTGCATGGGATAGGGAGAGACGTGAGCATGGACCCCAACCAGAGCACCATGGGACCTGCTACGTCAGTCCTCCATGCACGCCCCTATCCCCATTGGAGTCTGCTCCCCGACACCCCCTCTGCTGCCAGCCCTAACTCACATTTTCACACCACATGGTCCTGGCCGTCTGGGAGATGACATCAATTGCATCTGCTCTTTTGTGGCGGTTGATGAAGATGATGCCGCTGAGCCAGCAGGCCCACCCCACGGGGCCCATGTACATGAGCTCCTTCTTGGCGATGGGCACACAGCGGTCAGGAATGACCTCCACCATGCCTGGAGGACGGATGGGAGAGGAAAGGATCCGTCCCTGCCCAGTAGCATCCGAAACCAACCAGCCCTGTGGCTGTAGTGACCTGGCATCATCTTCCATCATCCCAACCCTCTCTCTGCAACACACCCATAGCTCCTGGCCCACCAGCTCTTCTGGCCTATGCCTACCTCACTGCCGTGTACAAATCCTGGTGCTGGCCTCTCTGGGACACCCCCAGGGTGAGCCTGGTCCACCCCTGCAGCACCCCAAAGGCTGCCCATGCAGTGATGAGTCCCCCCTCTTGCTTGCACGTACCCATGAGGTCAAGGGAAGCTTGGTGGTTGCAAACTATCACATAGGGCTCCTTGATGTTCAGTTGCTCTGAGCCCCACACCTGCATCTTGATGCCATAGAAGTGTTTGAGGGGCAGGATCGCGGCACGCAGGAGCCTAGGGCAGAGGAACATGTGGGGAGCAGATTGACACAGAGGAGGGCTGCTTGATTTTTTTCCAGCCCTTCACAATCACTCAGGGACGGATGTGCAAGATGGGCCGGGCTAGATCTGGTCTACATGAGCAAATAGCGTGTCCCAAAGTGGGTTTGTGTTCAGTCTCAGTGATGCTTTGCTTTTCTAAGCACATCTGTAGCCTGCATAGCTCAGAGCTAACCTCGTAACCATCCCCAAGCTGAGACCAGCTGCTGTATCAGTGGCAGAAAGTCTGCATTGGAGCTGCTGGTGAAGAAGAGCGGCCAGCACAAGCTGGTGGGGGAAAAAAAAAACAAACCATGATGTCTAGGGATAATGGGAAAGCAAGAAAAAAACACCAGATTTTTGATGTCTAGGGATAATGGGAAAGCAAGAAGAGAAGGGATGAGATGATGAGATGTCTGCCTGCAGCCAAGGTGCAAATCATCACATCCCAATGACGACAACAGCCTCTGCCCAGGTGGGCCTCACCCTGATGCTGCCCCACGTGCACAGCTGGATCTGTGTGTGCAGGCTGGAAACCCCGACACCAGGCTCGCAGCCCGCGCTGCAGATACCTAGAGCCAGAGGAGGTGGCTCGTAGCTGAGAGGTGCTGAGCCGTAGATGGGCGAGGACCGAAGATGGACATGCAGAGGAACAGTCTTGAGCCAGACAGGTCTGCAGGGATGGGGATGTCTCCAAGGACTGTCCCTGCAGAGCAGCCAAAGGGCAGCGCTGCAGGCACCAAGTTTTGTGCTGCAGGTGGAGGGGGAAGACAGCAGGGAAGGGAAAACCAGCTCAGCTTCATTCATTAGAGGGAATCACAAAGAATAGCTTCACTGGACCTGCAGTGTTGGGAAGAGATGAAGGTTTCATCTGTGCAGATGGAAGGGGGAGGAAGGACGAGTGGTGTCACCATCCAGGGAGGGTTGGACAGGAAGGGTAACATCAGGATGGCCGTGCCGATGAAGGGTGATGCTCAGTATGAGAATAACGAGAGGAATGGAGGGAGGATGGAGCAACGGGGATTGCAGCACCCACAGTGGAGATAAAAAGCTGGTATGCTTTCAGTGTTGAAATGGGGCACTCTCCAACCTACAGCATGAAGAGCACCCATGCCAGGGTCCACATATGTGGCAGTGACTGGTCCCAGGGAGCCCACAGGGGACACAGCAGGGGACAGAGCTGTCAGGAAGAGCTCAGCAACCGGATAGGGATGAGAAGAAGTTTGGGAGGAGAAAGTAGAAGCAGGCATAGAGGGAAAAGTAGGCACGGTGCTTAGAGTGTCCATTGGATCAGAAAACCACCCCCCGTCCCTTGGGAGATGCAGGCTCAGAGATCCCTGTGTCTGCAGAGAAGCAAAACACTTGTGGCAATGCCCCAAAGCCAGGACTAATGTCAGGAATGTGATCCAAGCCGGAGGCTTTGGGATTTGGAGGCTGAGGAGGAAACAGCTGGGCGTGCTGCTCCAGCGGAGGATGGCTGCGAGGTGTCGGTGGGATAAGATAAGGCAGCGTGATTCCCTGCTGCATCACACCAGGTATTTCCACTGAGCCGGAAGCGTTTGCGCCAGTTCTTGGAGCACCTCTGGATGCGTGTGGGTGTGCACAACATTTCTGCACAGAAAGGACGAGGGAGAGAGGCTACACAATGGACTGATAACATCAAACCTCTGACCACACTCCTGCAGAGGGCCCGAAACCCGTCAGCACAAATATGTGATGGCTTGAGCTCAGCAAATATCGCAAGCTCAGACATTTTTCACTCTGACATAATTATATCCCTTCTGGTATGCTATCATGCCCAGGAATCCAGTAACAAGATTGCAACACCCTTGAAAGCAACCAGACCTTCCTCTTGTGTTGCACAGCAACATTATCTCAGCTGCCACCACCCTTGAGCACAGCTGACAGCACCAGCGCACAACTCGCTGGGACATGACTGCGCCATGCCCGACAGCTGATGGCACCGAGACATCCCAAAATCCCTGTGACAAAGCGCGGTCCTGGGGCTCCCGCTGAGCAAGACCTGGCTGCGCTGCCAGGAAGATGGCGACGGGTGTGCATTTGCACCCTGCTAATGATTGTACCTCCAACCTTTGCCAAACCCCCCTGTCACTCACCCAACTGATGACCCCAACTTTGCGATGGCCAAGAATGATCCCTCTTACGCTACTTCATCCTCCAGGGACCAATGATAGTCCCAACCCAGCTGGCCACCTCCATTGTGGCATAACCCTCCCTGGGCATGGCCAGCGCCTCGTCACCACAACACAAGATGCAGATGCACCCTTCATTGCCACATGGACATGACCACAGCCCTCCCTGTGGCCCCAGATCTCAACCACCGGGTGTAACACGGCTGTGGGTATGACCAGAGCAGGAGAGAGCGTGTGTCCACAAGACCACATGAACTCCTCCATCGCAGCCAAGCCCCAGCATCTCCACGTCAGAAGCACATCCCCAGGCCATACTCACTTCATGTTCTCCACAGAGCGTCCCCGAAGAGCCGCAAAGGGGCACAGGAGGGTGGCCATGGCCACGATCCAGCAGTTGAAGAAGGCCACCTTGAAGTAGTAGTGGAAGGTGTCATTGTACCGGTAAAGCAGCAGGGCTGCCAAGGGGAGGAGGAGCAGCAGCCCGTTGAGCAGGACCACTTCCATCGTGCTGCCCCAGCGGGAGGGTGCTGGGGAGCTCAACCCGCATCCCCAGGAGCAGGGCGAGTGGAGCAGGGGATGCTGCGGAGCGTGGCAGGTGAATCAGATGTATCAGCAGAGCAACGTGTGGGCGTTTGGGGCTGGTCCAGGGGAAGGTGCTGTGTGTGTCTCACCCTTGAGGATGAGGCTTGAGGATGGACTGACTCAGACAGGAGGCAGGCTACCCCATCAAGGGTGGAGAGTGGTGGTGAGTCAACGCCGGGGACCCTGGGTCACCCAAGGTGTCACTGATGATAAGTGCCCTCCTGGGCTGTTAAAAGCCATTGCAGTACCTCCGACTTGATGCAATCAGGTCTGTTGCCCACAAAAGCGTCCATGCTCTGGGTACCTCCGCTGGCCACAGCCCTTGGGAAAGGGGAATCTCAGCTATTAGGGACAGTGGGAGCTGGTTCTCGTCCGTGCCCATCACTCTGGCAGGGCTTGTCATCGATTCCTGTTGGCATCGTGGCTAATCCCCAAACCTCACCCTGCAGAGATTATTGGAAAGTATCTCCCTGCTGCTCTCTGCCCGAGTCTGCAGCAGGCACGTGGTGCTAGTGCTCCCCATTTCTCTGCTTGCCCCAAATTTGGGCCGCAGGAATCCCTCTGCCTTTCCCCTGCCAAGGCCCAGCATCTATCACCAAGGTCCAAGCAATGCCACAGGAGTCTGAGCCCTGAAAACCCCATCCCACCCTGGGCTGAAGGAGACGCCAGCCCTCGCCCCAGTTGGCAGCCAGGGGCTGCATTGCGTTAGGTGTTTACATAGGTGCAGTTACAGCTCAGGGCTGTAATTAGCCTCTCCTTCCCCTCTGTTGTTTCCGCAGCGAGCGCACAGGATCCAGGCCAGCTCTGGGTTGCCCTGCAGAAACTCTGGTCTTGCTTTTAAAAGCAAGTGCTTGTCATTGCAGAGATAACTCTGGCCTGGTCTCAGTCACCAGCAGCATCTCCCAGTCTGGCTGTTCCACACCCCAAGCCCTGCCAGGGACATCCGCATGCTGCTGCCCGGACCCATCAGTTGGTCTCTGACCCTTGGGGCAGGAGCCTGTGAGCAGAGAGCTCCATTGTGCCTTCCCCTTACAACCCCACCAGCACTCTGGGGCAAACCGTCCCATTATACCATGCTGGAAGAGGCATCACACCACCTGGGTCAAAGCCAGCAGCCCTGCCCCTCATCTGACACGACCTGCCTTCAGCAAAATCACTCTGCATCTCCCCTGCTCCGTTCCTCTCCATGCCCATGGCTGCTCTTTCCCCCTATACCTTCTCCTTGTCCCTGCTGATGTGGGTGCAAGCAGATGCCTTTGGGCTCCTGGCTGTGTGATGCTCTCCATGCTGTCAGCTGAAGGGTGCCCCGGTTCAACCAGTGTGACCCAGACAGGGCTCCAGGGGTTACTTCCACTGTGGGTATTGCAATCCCCATTGCTTCATCCTCCTGTTCCTGTCATTATTCTCATATTTAGGCTAAGACTGGGTCATAGCTTGAGCCCACCCTTCCTGTCCATCCCATCCCCAGGTGACTCCTCTCCTCCTTCTTCCCTTTCTGTCTATATGGATGTGGAAACCTTCATGCACCAGCCTGGTTCCCCACCAAACTCAGTGCAGATCTTGGATGGTCTCCTTCACTTTTGTTCTTGCTTCTCTGCCCAGCCAGTCTCACAGCCTCCTGGGCT